TGTCATCGAAGTAGGATCCCGTCGTAGTTCGAATGAGGTCACTCATATTATCGTCGATGGCCTTGGCCATTGGGATGTTGCTTCGAACTGTCGTCGAAGTAAGATCCCATCGTAGTTCGAATGAGGTCAAACTCATATTATTGTCGATAGCCTTGGCCATTGAGATGTTGCTTCAAACTATCGTCAAAGTAGGATCCCGTCGTAGTTCGAATGAGGTCGAAGTCATATTATCGTCGATGGCCTTGGCCATTGGGATGTTGCTTCGAACTATTGTCGAAGTAGGAAACGAGGTCGAACTCATATTATTGTCGATGGCCTTGACCATTGGGATGTTGCTTTGAACTATTGTCAAAGTAGGATCCCGTCGTAGTTCGAATGAGGTCAAACTCATATTATCATCAATGGCCTTGGCCATTGGGATGTTGCTTCGAACTGTCGTCGAAGTAGGATCCCGTCGTAGTTCGAATGAGGTCGCTCATATTATCATCGATGGCCTTGGACATTGGGATGTTGCTTCGAACTGTCATCGATGTAGGATCCCGTCGTAGTTCGAACGAGGTCGAACTCATATTATCGTCGATGGCCTTGGCCATTGGGATGTTGCTTCGAACTGTCATCGGAGTAGGATCTCGTCTTAGTTTGAACGAGGTCGAACGCATATTATCGTTGATGTCCTTGACCATTGGGATGTTGCTTCGAACTGTCGTCGAAGTAGGATCTTGTCGTAGTTCGAATGAGGTCGAACTCATATTACCGTCGATGGCCTTGTCCATTGGGATGTTGCTTCAAACTGTCGTAGAAATAGGATCCTGTCGTAGTTCGAATTAGGTCAAACTCATATCATCCTCGATGGCCTTGGCCATTGGGATTGTTCTTCGCACTGTCGTCGAAGTAGGATCCCGTCGTGGTTCGAATGGGGTCGAACTCATATTATCGTTGATGGCCTTGGCCATTGGGATGTTGCTTCGAACTGTCGTCGAAGTAGGATCCCGTTGTGGTTTGAATGAGGTCGAACTCATATTATCGTCGATGGCCTTGGCCATTGGGATGTTGCTTCGATCTGTCGTCGAAGTAGGATCCCGTCGTAGTTCGAATGAGCTTGAACTCATAATATCGTCGATGGCCTTGGCCATTTCTTGTAGATTTGATCTATTCTCGCAGGAAGACATGTAGACTTTGTTCGTGCAATGGAGGTTTGATTAAATTTGTGAGAATCATATGTCGACTCTGCACATACAATGGAGATTCGATTAAATTCCTGTGAGAATCACATGTCGACTCTGGACATACAATGGAGATTTGATTATATTCCTGTGAGAATCACATGTCGACTCTACACATACAATGGATATTCGATTATCTATGCCCAGTCCCTTCATTACTTTGCTCCGGAGATCATGTCGTCGGGTTGAGGTAATGAACAACACTTCGATCCTTGAGGCGTCTCCCTTGCCGCCTCGTTATAAACCTCCCCGAGAAAACCTGATTGGGACAAAACCCGGGTGAGGGAAAAAGAGTACGACTTAGGTGACGCCTTCTTTTAGAAGTGGAAGTACTTGAGATGGGCGACATTCTAGTTGTTTTGGAGTAGTTTCCCCCACCCCCTATTGTTTCTAACTAGAATGCTTCTTTGTTTGCTGCAGTTATGATTTTGTATGGTTCGTCCCAATTCATTCCCAATTTTCCCTCATTAGGGTTTTTCGATGTTTGTGATTTAGCTTTGAGGACGTAGTCTCCGACTTTTAGCGGTCTCACCTTGGCTCTCTTGTTGTAATATCTTTCTAATTGTTGCTTCTGGGCTACCATTCTTATGTGGGCCATGTCTCTCCGTTCTTCGACTTCATCCAGATCTTGTAGCCTACTTTCGTCGTTGCTTGGCCCGCTCTCGTTGGAGTATCTCAAACTGGGTTCTCCGACCTCGACGGGTAAAACTGTGTCAGCCCCGTAGACCAGTGAATATGGCGTTTCTCCTATGTTGATTTTTGGCGTAGTGCGGTATGCCCATAATACTTCCGGTAGTAGTTCAGGTTGTAGCCCTTTAGCATCCTCAAGCTTCTTTTTCAATATATTCAGTGTTACTTTATTGGAGGATTCGGCTTGACCATTGGCGGCAGGGTGATATGGTGTGGAAAGTATTTGTTTGATGTGCCATTTTTCGAAAAACTTAGTCATTCTCTTTCCGGCGAATTGAGGTCCGTTGTCGCAGCTGATTTCTTTGGGGATGCCAAAATGTCATATTATGTTTTTCCATATGAATGCGATGACCTCCTGTTCACGTATATGAGTGTATGCACCTGCTTCCACCCATTTAGAAAAGTAATTAGTTAAAACCAAAAGGAAGCGCACCTTACCTCGTCCTGTTGGGAGGGGGCCGACTATGTCCATTCCCCACTTTATGAATGGCCATGGCGAAGTGACGGAATGAAGGAGTTCCCCTGCTTCATGTATCATAGGGGCGTACTTTTGACATTATTCACATCTCCTTACATAGTCCGCGGCTTCTTTTTTCATGGTGGGCCAGTAGTACCCGGCGCGGATGAGGCATCGGATGAGGGTGCGGTTTCCCGTGTGGGCGCTGCAGTGCCCTTCGTGTACTTCTTCCAGTACTCGCCTTGTTTTGTTTGGCCCAAGACATTTAGCTAAGGGGCCGCCAAACGTTCTTTTGTAGAGATCACCGTTTATGAGGCTGTATCGGGCTGCCTGTACCTGGAGTGTTTTGGCTTCTTTTTTATCTTGCGGGAGCATTCCGTCCTATAAATATGCTACGAGGCTGTTACGCCAGTCCCAAGTTAAGTTTATAGAATGTACCTCAATGTGGTCTATTGCGGAATGGAGGAGGGTGACCACATTTTGGTGGCCGCAACTAGTTTGGCGAGGCCATCTGCTTCGATATTCTACGCCCTGGGTATTTGGTCGAGGCGGCATTCATCAAATTCTGGCAGTAGTTTGTGGATTTTCGATTGGTATTTTGTTAGTCTCTACTATTTGATTTGGAAAGTCCCTGTGACTTGGTTCACCACGAGTTGAGAATCACAATGGAGGACGAGTCGTCGAGCGCCATATTTGAGGGCTAACTTCAAACCTGTAATCACAGCTTCATACTCGGCCTTATTGTTAGTCACCTCGGGGCATCGTATGGACTTGTGAATTACTTCGCCTGTAGGGGCTTCGAGGACGAGCCCCAGTCCCGATCCCGAGGCATTAGAGGCATCGTCAGTGTAGAGGACCTAGAGGTCTGTATGTGTGGAAGTGCGAAGTGCTTCCTGTTCTACCTTTCCATGCTGAAATTAGCGACAAAGTCGGCGAGCACCTGCAACTTAATGGCAGTTTGCGGTTGGTACGTTATGTCGTGCTCACTTAGTTCTATGGCCTACTTGTCTAATCTACCTGATAGTTCGGGTTTGTGTAGGACCTCTTAGGGGGAAGGTTGTCACCACCTTTATGGGGTGACATTGAAAGTACAGTCTAAGCTTCCGTGAAGCTACGACCAATGTCAGCGCTAGTTTTTCAAAGTAAGGGTACCTTGTTTCGGCATCGATTAAGGTTTTGCTGATATAGTAAATCGGAGATTGCGTACCTTTATTTTCACGGACCAAGATTGCGCTTACCACAACTTTAGAAACTGCTAGATACACAAGTAGACATTCACCCGGGTCCGCTTTGACGAGTAGTGGTGGAGAGGATAGATATGTTTTCAGTTTTCTCAGGGCGTCGACGCATTCTTTGTTCCATTGCAACCCGTGGTCTTTCCTTAGCACATTGAAGAAATTGTGGCATATATCCGAGGACCGTGAAATGAACCTTGATAGGGCAGCTATTCGCCCCATTAATTTCTGCACCTGCTTTTTGCTGGTCAATATTTTCGATATTGCATCGATGCCCTGATTTGATCCGGGTTGACCTCAATTCCCCTTTGTAACACTAGGAAACCAAGGAACTTTCTTGAAGTTACGCCGAAGGTGCACTTTTCGGGATTCAGTTTCATCCCATACTGCCTTAATATCTCGAAGGCTTCCTTCGGATGTTCGATGTGATCCTCCTTCTTGGTCGACTTTACTAGCATGTCGTCAATGTAAACCTCCATGGTCTTACCGAGTTGTTTTTTTAACATTTTGGTGACTAACCTTTGATACGTGGCCCCTATATTCTTGAGCCCGAACGACATCACTTTATAGCAGTACGTTCCTTGATGAGTGATGAAAGTGGTCTTTTCCTGATCTTCTTCAGCCATCATAATTTGGTTATAACCGGAGTAGGCATCCAAGAAGCTCAGCAGTTCGTGCCCCGTTGTTGCATCGATAAGTTGGTCGATAGAGGTAGCAAAAAAGAGTCCTTTGGGCATGCTTTGTTCAGATCGGTGAAGTCAACACACATTCTCCATTTCCCGTTCTTCTTTTTGACCATGACCACATTGGCAATCCATTGGAGGTATTTCGATTCTCTGATGGAACCGTTGGCAAGTAATTTATCAACTTCCTCGCAGACCGCCTCATTGATTGCGGCATTGAACTTTCTTCTCATTTACCGTATTGGCGGATGAAGTGGATCAACATTCAGCCTATGTGTGGCGATATCCCTTGGGATTCCTGGAATATCTGAGTGGGAAAAAGCAAACAAATCGACGTTGTTAGTTAAAAACTTATGATACTTACCTGGCTCCGAGCGGTTGTGTCCAACATAAGCCTTTTTTGTACTACCGGTGTTATCAAATTGGACGGGATCAAGGTCTTCTATGGTTGCCTTGCAAGCTTCTACGATGTCCGGTTCTTTGATGGCCTCTATTTGTACGTCGGGTTTGGTTCCCGACATGGCTGATTGCTATGCTTCCATACTTTCCCCTTTTAATTGTTTGGTGTGTGTGCAGTCTTGGGTGATCAGGTAGCATTCTTGGGTGGTACACGGCTCGCCTTGGATGCTGAATATCCCCCATGGGGTGAGAAATTTGATTACTTGATAGAAGCTTGAAGGGATGGCTCGCATGGTGTGTATCCATGGTCGTCCTATGATATGGCATTGTACGCCGTTTCTTGGTTCATGACGTGGAATGTCATTTCCAAGGTAAACCCTCCTGCCATGACAGGTAGCATTATTTCTCCAGATGTCCGCTCTACTGCATTATTAAAACCCGTTAGTGTTATGCAACGCGGTATTATTTTATCCTCGAGCCTCATTTGCATGAGAACTCGCGGGTGAACAATACACGTGCCGCTTCCGTCATCCACCATTACTCTTTTTACATCGGTATCTGCAATGCGTAAAGTTATAACTAAAGCATCATAGTGAGGGAAAGACAGACCATCGATATCTGACTTATTGAAGATAATACTATCTTCGAGGTCATCATACCGTTCGTGGGCGACTATCCGTTTGAGTTTATGTGTGGTGGTGAATTTCACATGGTTGATTATCATGTCGTTGCTGCCGCCAATGATAATTTGTATGGTACAAGCTGGTGACGGTGGCTTTGGAGGTCCTTGAGGTTGACCGAGCCCTCGAGCGAAGTTGGCTCGTCCTCTGTCACTCAGCAGTTCTTTCAGGTATCCCTGATTTAACATTCTTACTACTTCTTGTCGCAAACCTATGCAGTCATCGGTCTTGTGTCCTCTTTCCTGGTGGAACTCACACAGGACGTTTGACCTCCTTATGCTTGGGTCCGACTTCATCTTTTGCGGCCACTGCACCTTCGTGCCAAGCTTCTCCAGTGCGTACACTATTTCTGAAGGGGAAACACAAAAATTATGAGCAAATAGTAGTGGATGCATACCTCTTTCATTTTGGGGTTATGCGGTATGTCGAGGCGCAGCGTCCGCGTGTCGTGGAGGTGGAGGATTGGATGTTCGGATGTAAGGCTGGTGTCTTTCTCGATTGAAAACGAGTAGTTGATCCCTTCGCCCATCATGGCGACGATCTCTCCTTGTCTCGGTTTGGACTGATGTTACTCGCTGAAGTGGGCCATGTAGGTCATCTTCGTCTGTCCTCACTTCGGCGCAATAGGCATTGTGGATCTCTTCCCACGTGGTCGAGGGGTACTTCATGAGTCTACTGAGTAGCTTTTTGGTTGCTTTTGACCCGTTTCTGTTTAGTCTATTTTGAAAGGTTGCTACTGCCATCCCTTTTGACACGTTTGGTAGGCTCATCCTTACTCTGTTGAATCGGGCTAGGAAATCCTGAAGTCTCTCGCCTGTCGTTTGCCTGACGGCGAAGATATCATTGACCCTAGCTTTTGCCTTTTTCGCTCCCGCGTGCGCGGTGACAAACTTGTCTGCCATTTCTTCGAACGTGGATATCGACCGTGCTAGTAGTTAGGAATACCACATCACCCCTTGTCAGAGTTTCTCCAAACGTTTTCAGCAGTACAGACGACACCTGTTCCTTTGATAAATCGTTACCCTTTACTGCGGTAACGTAATGGATTAGGTGATCTTTTGGGTCCGTGGTGCCATAGTATATTTTCAAATATGGCGGCATTTTGAAGGTCTTTGGAATAGAATGGGGAGCTTCCCCTTCACTATATGGTTGTTCGACGAATTGACCTACATCACGTTTTGGTAACAGCTTCGGAGCGCCAGGTATTTTATCGACCCTTTCCTGATGTTCCTTCATCTGGTCACGGAGTGTTTTGTTCTCATTCTCCATCTCTTCCATTTCCTTTAAGATGTCCATAAGTGCATTGTCACGTATATCAATAACAGTACAGGTGTTTCCTGTTCGTGTAGCGCTTGGCTCATCGACAACAACTGTGATTTCTATGGGTGACGCATCTTCGACATCTCCCTGAATGGGTTTCTCGAGCATGTTGCTCAAGGCACTTGTTAACCATTATTCTAGTATCCTTTTGACTACTGGTGGCGCTTCTCCTGCTGATGATATTGAGGTTCCTCTCTCAAGCAAGGTCGTTAGATCATCGTGCGGAGGAGGTGAAATCTCACCCTCAGGTGTAACACGGTGTTGCATTTTCATTGTCTTCTCCACTGGCCTCATTGAGGGAATTCAAGAGGTTATTTGTGATACCTACTATTGTTTTTAGTCTCATTTCTCCCTTTCCCGCCAGTGTTGGCTTTTATGGAGCTGGAGAAAGGCGATTATTTCCTTCAAGAATCTAGATGAAAACTATGATTTCAGTTATAGAAATCCCCATATACGGCGCCAAATTGTTTGACTCAAAAGATATTAAAACTTTTTTGAATAAGTCAATCAAAGATAAATGGGTAAATCTTAGTTGAATATAATTATTTCTAGAAAGAATGGCAGATAAAGAGGAGACGGTCATTAAGTTTCTTTTTGCTCGAGAATCATAATCTCTCTCAAGTCCCCCTTTTTGTAATGACTCGACCGGTCGTTTTAAGATCTAGTGCGTCGTTTAGCAGTTTGAGGCCAAGAGCAGCTTCACTTCGGGTATTATGACTTGTGCGCATGGTCAGAATTGATTTTCGGGAAGTTCAGAGTTGATTTGGAAAGAGAATTCTCAATTCAGAAGCTTTAAGTTGAAAGAATTAGCTAAGATTGGATTTTTGAGTAAACGACCTCGGAATTGGGATTCGAAGGTTCCAGCAGGTTTGTATGATGATTTCGGACTTAGACGTATGTCCAGATCGAGTTTTGGATGACCCGGGAGCGATTTGGAGCCTATTGTGGAAGTTAGCACTTTGGAAGAAATTTCATAAGTTTGGGTTGAAGTGCATTTCAGTGTAATCGATGTCCGTTTGGGATTCCGAGTCTGGGAGTAGCTCCGTATGGTGATTCTGGAGTTGGGAGTGCGATCAGAAGTGAATTCGAAGGTCCGTAGTCATTTTGGAGTCATTTGGCTAAAGATAGAAATTTGAAGGTTTTTGAGAAGTTTGACCGGAAATGGACTTTTTGATATCGGGGTCGGAATTCGATTCCGAAAGTTGGAGTAGGTCCGTAATGTCAAATATGACTTGTGTACAAAATATGAAGTCAATCGGACGTGATTTGACAGGTTTAACATTGAAAGTGGAAGTTTGAAACTTTAAAGTTCATAAAGGTTGGATTGGAGGTCGATTCATGATTTTAGCGTTGTTCGATATGATTTGAGGCCTCGAGCAAGTTCGTAACGTATTTTGGGACTGGTTGGGGTCCCGGGGGCCTCGAGTGTACTCCGGGTGGTTAACGGATCAAAAATGAAATTTTGATCAAGGCTGAAATTGTTGGTTGCTGATATAACCGCACCTGCAAAACTAGGGCCGCAGGTGCGGAGCCGCAGAAGCGGCCTTATGGTTGCAGATGCGGTATTGGCGAAAGAGAGTTGGGACTGCAGATGCGGTCGTTTGGCCACAGATGCAGAACCGAATCTGCGGTAGAGAGCGCGCAGAAGCAAAATAGGCTGGGGAGCCCCGGACCACAGAAGCGGTAATTGGTCTCGCACCTGCGGAACCGCAGAAGCGGTCAGAAGACCGCAGGTACGGAAATGCTGAAGGCAGTGAGTTTTTTTAAAACGGGGGTTGGGTTCATTTCAACCCTATTTCTTCCATTGGAGCCGATTTTGGAGCAACTTTGAGGTGCCATTTTTACCACCAAGCATGAGGTAAGTAATTTATGATCGTTTTTAGTTAAATACATGATTACATACGGATTTGGACATGGAAATTGATAGAAACTTGGGGTTTGGGGGAAAACCTAGAAAATTGATATTTTTGGATTTTTGACCACGACTTTGGGTATGAAATTAAGAGAAAATCATATAGTTGAGTTCGTGAGATCATGGGTAAACTTTGTCTTTGAAAAATTTAGGAATCCGGGCACGTGGGCCCGAGGGCAATTTTGTCAACTTTTCGATCGGGGTTAGGAATTGTTATAAATTGGATTAATATGAGTAGTTTATCGTATATTAATGGATTTGTATTATTATTGGCTAGCTTTGGTGCTTTGTACATCGATTTGAGTCTTCGGAAGGACGAGGAATGTTGATTATGGATCTTCAAAGCGAGGTGAGTCTCCTTTCTAACCTTGTAAGAGGGAATTGTCCCCATAGGTAAAATAATTGGNTGAAACTTAGAAAAATGGAGGGAGCAACAGTTTTGGCACGGACCGTGCTCCTTTTCACGCTGGCCTAGTGCTGGCCGCGTCAAAGTGGCCGAGGTCGTGAAGACTGCAGGTTGCTGGACCTACTTCGGAAGCTCATATATTTTGATCCACAAGGAATTTTGAGGTGATTCAAAAACGAAAGTTGTATCTCTTCGTGTCTAGTTTCCAGAAAGATAAAAATATTGCAATTTGGACATCTATAGCGAAAGTTATGGCCAAATTACTAAAGCATGTCCCTGCAGAGCAAGACCTGTGCAGCCGCGGTCATTTTTGGGCGGACCCCGCTGGTTTTGCGCGGACCGCGGTCATTTTTGTGCGGTCAGCGGTGTCGAAATTCGAGGGGTACTCTATAAATACGAGGTTTTGGGTTTTATTTGATATTTTGACCTAGAGAGCTCGGATTTTGGCGATTTTTTGAAGGTTTTTCAAGAAATTGGTCGGGGTAAGTGATTCTAACTCAGATTTGGTTAGAGTACATGAATCTATCACTGAATTCATCATTTAATTCGTGATTTGAGATGGAATTTGGGAAGAAAATTGTGGAACCTTTCAAAAATGTAAAATGACGATTTGAAGGACCAAATGGTATCGGAATTGGATAATTTTGGTATGGTTAGACTCGTGAGGTATGAGAATTCTAAAAATGTAAATTTTACCCGATTCCGAGATGTGGGCCCGGGGCTCGGGTTTTGCTAATTTCGAGATTTTTGATATTTTTCGAATGTTTTCGCTTGGGCTTTGTTCCCTTAGCATATTGTGACGTATTCGTTCTGATTTTGGATAGATTCGACGCGTGTGGAGGCCAATTCGAGGGGCAAAGGCGTCGCGAGCTAGAGAATTAGCCAGTTCGAGGTGAGTAATGGTTGTAAATGATGTCCTGAGGGTTTGAAACCCTGGATTTGCACATCGTAGTGCTATATCGAGGCAAGATACGCGCTGGATGATGAGCGTGGTCACTACTGGGGATTGTGACTTGGTCCATCCCGATTGATGCCTTTACTGAATATTTGACTGAAATTCATTTGTTATCATCATGATTTGGGTTGATTGCCATATTTGGGCTTCGTGCCAACTATTTGAGCCCTTCGGGAATTTTTATCACTGTTTCCTTACTGGTTGACTTATTATTTGAACTCAGTCCTATTGATATTTACTATTTTACAAACTCAGCCACTTTTACTCATATTTGAAACTTAAATGATATTTCTACATCATGTTTGGGCTAAGAACTACTGTTTTACTAATGCCCAAGGGGCTTATGATGATTTCTGGACTGAGTGATGCCGAGGGCCATATGTGAGGATATGATGAGTGATATGAGGCCGAGGGCCTGAGATACTATTTATGCCATGCGGTGGCTTGAGTGATGTGAGGATATGCTGAGTGATGATGCCACGAGGTGGCTTGATATAGCGCTTGGGCCGTAAGGGGCCCCTCCGGAGTCTGCACACCCACAGTGAGCGCGGGTACCCATGTGATTTGAAATAGTGGTAACAATGACACTATATGATGCAACTTGGTCAGGTAACAATGGCTGACCATTATGCTGAGTGATTGTGAGGTAGCCCGAGGGGCTGATACTGTACTGAGAGTGAGCTCGAGGGGCTGATACTATGCTGAGCAATTGATACTAAGCCCGAGGGGCGGATTTCTACTTGTTATTTACCTGTTAAATTACCTGTTTTACTTGTTTTAAAAAGGAATATCATTTGATTCT